TCAGCTATGACAGTACATCGTTGCTATCTGCTGAGAAGCGCCGCTACATACAGTTGTCCGCCAATCCTGGGAATAGAACCGGTGCCGTACATGCTCTTTTCTAACAAAATGAGTTTAGGCAGTCAGACTTCAGCGCCTTGAACAGTCGCATGCTTCTATTATTCCCCATCGCTCCGACACCTGAAAAAACCTGCTTCATTAAAACGCACATGCTGCTACACAAAGATGTGTGCATTTAGTGATACACGTATCGCAATCAAAGAAAAAAAATACACAATTTATCATGGGACACAGAATAACAAAACACGAGATGAAGCAGAGTACGCAACGCAAAGACATTTGGAATACCATGAAATAACCGTCAATGGTACAAGAGCCAGTGATAACCAAAAGGTTCAAACGCACTATCCACTCCTGTTCGTCGGTTCCTGTTCATGTTGCTGTATGCGTCCATCTTTAACACCGATTAACCAAAACCTCGTACAGACCTCCATCGCGATAATAGTAGGAAATGGCACGCCATGACACTGTTTGCGCCTTGAGCGCTGTAAAGAACTTTACTCCCCCCCTCAGCAAAGCGTGGGAGGCTGCGATCTCTCAGCCAGACCTGGTCGAGCAGCGTCAACTCGTCGCTCGAGCTCGGTGGGCTGTCCAAGCCATAGGGTTCCTGCTGGAATAACGGACCCTCCCAGCTTCCCTCACAAGCTTCATTCAATAAATGGTTTTTCTCTCTCTCTCCCCCCCCCCCTACTCCCCAAAAAGACGCTATGAGCTTGACAAACTAAAAAAACTGCCACACTACCTTTAAATATTCATAGAAAAGTTGCAAAAAGTACCCTTTCACTATCTTACACCAAAACGTGTTTCTCCTTTTAATCTAGAGGTCCTTGCACTTTTTATGTCATGAGAGGGCACATAAAACACACTGTGCCAATATAATGTGTCATTGTCATAGAATAGCTAACATAATAAATCACATAACATAACACAACTAACATTACTCGGCGCAGGTGGGTACCGAATCCCACATCATTCAAATCAATGGTTGTCGGTTCGGTACACATCGACGTCGAGTTACTTTTCCGGTTACTTCATTTCATTTCTCTTTATCTCATAGTTTCATCTTTTTTTGCTTAAAAACTTTAAATAATATCATCCGCGCGTTTCTAAGCTTTATTATTTGTCATGTTCATTACCGCTTTGTTTTACGATCACTCGATATTTTTGTCACCACATGACGTTCCTTGTGAATATCATCATTTGGAGGGCAGACAGTAAACTTACAAGCAAGGTAATTCTCGTGGTAAAACGGGCCGAACTTAATGCTTCTTTTTTATTGAAACATTTTCAGTATTGGTATCCCGCCTACTTTCTAAGAAAGCAGTCATGTCAGCTTCTATGTTGCTCGCACATTCCCGCTACCACAAACACGCTTCTAAATGCTGCTCGTTTAGTGTGTTTCACCGAAAAATAAATATGGTCAGTTGAGCATGTACACTGAAGATTCAGGGAGCAGCACAGTCAAAGGGGACGATAAATTGGCGTACAACACATCCATTGGCACACTCATTCTCACACCCACACGAAGAGACTGACAACCACGAACAGCTATATGTTACTGTACAATGACAATGCCAACTTTACATAGCACGACTGCTTTGAAATTTCTTGAGCGAAAAGCCTTGGCAGTCTTGCTACTTAGGTACTGCTCACTTTGCTAAGCGCGCTCTTTTTTTTTTCAGGGAAACACTTTGTCAACAGGCTCTTACTATGCAGGAAGACAGCGGGAGTCTTGAGGGGATAAATGTAGGTAACCAACTTGGAGCACAACGAACAGGATGGTCGTCGCTAAGTCTGATACGGGATGCTGATGGAGAGGTTTGAGTATTTACTGTTGGACATGCCACCATTCGGCTCCTACGCGTACCTGCTCTGCTGACGCCTTCAAGCACTTACATAGGAAAGCTGCCAGTCTAAAGCATGCAGCTACATTGAGACACTACTTGAAGCGAGTGTCTTGTATAGCAAGGGATGGGAAATCGTCATTTCGATAATGCAACGAATATTACACGTTACTGTGTACGCGGCGTGATGCTTCGACAGATAAGAAGGCTGTCTAAAAGAAATTAAAATATTGACTTGAAAGAGCGCCTTCTCTATACGGGAGGCGTAACAGCTTTTGTTTCTTATGAACATCGCATTGGTAATAAAGCTTGTGCGGAGGAAACTCTTAGCGTGGCATAGAAAAAACTATATTAATATTACTGAGGCAAGCACCTTGATATCCTAATGTTTTATTTTTCAATTTGCGCTCAATATAATACGTAAAACTAGCTGTCCTGTGCTATGCTAGCTTCTAAAAGTACTGTACTCGGCAATTGAAACATGACACTCAGAGAACGTCGCTGAAGGCGGGAAGGTTGATGAGGAGCGTGACGCTGTTCGTGACATGTGGTCCTTGCATTCGGTAGGCAACCGATCAGTCTCGCTTCTTGGTGGTACCAGCATATCATTGCTTGCCATGGGTGTCCCCCCTTACCCAGAAAAAAAGTCCCATTGTCACCACATGCGAGAAGCAAATGAATGTACTTGGAATGCCAAGCGAAGTACAACAAGGCAGCTTGAAATGTTGAGCGCCCTGCTCAAACACAAAGGACTGCCCCAAAAAGAACACGCATTGGACGAGCGCGAACTGCAGTGACTTTCGAAGTGGTCAGTTTTCCTCGCAAATGTGGTTGCTGCAGCGAGTGAAGTTACATTTGTGCGATTTGTAACTCCAAGCATAGCGGTGAAGAGATGGCGTACAAAACCGCCCCCATCACTATATAATCGTGCACACGGGTGACACACATCGTAGGGCAAAGCACAGGTATTAAAGGTAGGAAGAGCGCCTATCGCAAGGAGCGGGGTAACTAAAGCGCCTCTAATGCGCGCTGTTCACGCTCTCTCGCTGGTGATGTAATTGCTATCGCAATAATACTGCGCTGCGATCACGGCCATGCCACGTGAGACCACTGGAGCTGGTGGCGGGCGCGTGTTCCAAAGGACTGCAGCAGTCCACCGCGAACCACAGACTGGTTTGCCGTATGTGTTCGAAGGACTGTAGCAGTCCACCGCGCACCACAGACTGAATTTCCGTATACAGTAACCACCCCTTAAAAGCCCTCTCGCTGTCACCGTCCCCTTACCGCCAAGAACCACTCGCTTGGAGTCTCATAATTCATTCGCCGAGAACTGTACCTTATGTCCTATGTTTTTTAAAGTTTGATTTAGCTGATTGCATTGCGGAAAATTCTTGACTTTTGTGTGAACAGTTTCGTCTTCATGTTCAAATGTTTAGGAGCTCCTCATTTTTCAATGAGAAAAGAACACCCACATTGTTTGCCGCGGTTCTGTAAGCAACGGCACACTCAACCGTTGCATACGCCTAAATTTATTTTTTATGTTTCTTATCCTTGCATTATTAGGTGCCATGGGTGTTCTAGATACCAGTGAATTTGTACCTATCAGTCTAGCACTCCTAAAGAATAATAAGGACATCATTAGGCGTACAATGCCAGCATACCTTACAGAATAATTTCTCTTACACACATTCCGAGTGTGCTTATAACGAAAGCTGTCGTCGTACGGGTTTTTAACATCTGCTGGAAAAAAACTTACCTCCACGAGAAACGATGCTCTTGCTTTTTTATACGTCGGCTTCGTAGGGCTCAGTAGATTTAGAGAGGGCAAAGGCATGCATTGACGAGGGCATGGGACATCGAGGACACCCGAAAAAAAGGTGTATGGTTAGGCAATGTATCACATTAGTACCTTTAGAAGAGTGAGTACAATATGCGAGTTCATAGCGACAAAAACATGAAAAATACAGATGCTCAACACACATATGGTTAACCAGTGACATTGTTATACAACAAAATGCGAATCACCGAAAGTGCAACTGCTACACGGTGACAGTCATATTGGGCATGACAAGACGTAGACATTTTTTTCTGTCACTCAAACACTAGACGTCCGATAATATCACAATGAATATACTGTACATTGATGAGGAGCTGGGACACTTCTCTGGAAGTTTGACTGCGTTCGCTGATGTCAGTGGGGCGAAGGAGCCAGCACGTGGTAAACCACGTGATTCATTGTCCCTTGACAAATTCGAAGCAGCCCCTGAACGAGTTCGTCACTTTTCTTATAGGCTTGCCCATGTGCGCTTCTTGACGAGTTTGTGGAGAAGCCTTTGTGGCTTCGGAAAATACACTCTCCAAATGAACTGAACACCCTCACAAAAACTTCAGAAATTTTAACAACCAGCGATGCAATGCAAGCAAAAAGCGGTAATCAAGTTTGAAGAGTAGGTGTCGATGAAGAGAATGTGCTTAGTGATAAGCGCTGCGCTTGAGCGAATGAGAAAGGCGCGTTGCAGGAGGCTAACAAACAGCGCAGAGCCCCATGCGCTGTAGGAACCTCCCACAAAACTTGCAGAATAGTCTGCCAAGGGCATTTCTGCTGTGTTTGGCACCAGGTTTAACGCAATCACTACAGAAGAATTCTAACCTAAAAGTTATATCAAGGAAGCTGAGCACCCTTTATACTGTTGACCTGATATACTAATCTGAACCTGCTGATATTTGCAACAGGATTCCGGTCTGAGGCAACAGGATTTTGGGCAAGTCAAAGTTACCCTTTACGTGGAGTGTCTGTGACTTTCGCCAGAGCCCCAAAGGCTAAAGCCACACTGCACTAAAGGACGCGTTAACAATTTTGCTTCGTTACGGGATAGGGGTAGTGTCTTACTATAGTTTACATGAAGAAGCCACCCGACACCCACATGAAATACATTCCGGCTTGGCTAACTGAAGCTGTGTGGTTCGAGAAAAGCACAAAAGCGAAAGCAAATGTGCAGTGTTACTTAAACTCTGTTCTAGCGGGTCAATACAAAAATATCTTTGACAGAAGTGATGGCGAAAATGCGTTAACGTGTTATAATTTTTTTCATATATAGAGGTCACCAAGAGTGGCCTGAAGCTTGATAAAAAAACCAACAGTGTAACCGCTGCAAATCTGGAATCTCATTCCTGTCATCTCATGGGCGGCTTCTTGCCACACAGTATTCTATTAAAGGCGTTGCGAAAGTCAGGACTGAATATGGTATATATTATCGGGTTTATCATCGAGTTCGCGTAGCCCAGCCACAGAAAGAAACTGAACACCAGCTTTCCGGGGTCGCACGTCTCGCACAGTGGCATGACGAGCGCCATGACGAAGAAGGGCAGCCAGCACATGACGAACACGCCGGTGATGATGGCCACCGTCTTGGCTGCCTTGCGCTCCCGCCGAGACTCAATCGTCTCCTCGACGTGCTTCTTCTCGCGCTTCGTGAGCACGAGAAGGCGGCCGATGCCAGCCATGCATGGCTTTGTTCATGCCGTTGCTGGGCGACGACTGATTACTGCTGTTGCGCACGGGTGAGCTCGCGACGGTAGCATTGTGCTGAGGCGTGTTCTCGTTGGAAGCCACGGCGGACGACGTCGACGGTTCTTTGTGAACTATGAGCACTGCCTTGGCTCCGGGCTTGTGGCGAATCCTCTGGCGGGCCACTTTGAAGATGCGCCAGTACAGCAGCAGGATCATGATGAGCGGCACGTAGAAGCTGGAGCACGTGGCGAACACCTGGTACGCGGCGTCCTGACTCACCAGGCACTTCTTCTCGTGCAGGACACGGCTGCGCGAGTCCTTGTCCTTCCAGCCGAAGATCGGTGCTATAGACACTACGAAGGCCACGCTCCACACCAAGAATATCATGATGCCCACCTTCCGAACGTCCCGCTGCCGCATGTAGTCCACGATGGTCACCGCCCAGTACCGGTCCACAGCGATCGCGAGCAAGTGTAAGATGGACGCGGTGCAGCACAGCACATCGCAGCACGTCCACACGTCGCACAGCTCCGGTGGCATTCTCCACTCGCGCGTCACCTCGTAAACGGCACCCAGTGGCATCACCAGGCAAGCCACCATCAAGTCTGCAACGGCCAACGAGAGCACCAGGTAGTTGCTGACGGTACGCAGGTTGCGCTCCCAGATGATGGCTGCGATGACGAAGATGTTGCCGATCACGGTGGCTATGATCACCAAGCAGAGAAGCAGGGAGACGGTTATCACAACCGGAAGGTTCTCGTGCCAGGACTGGCTGAGATTGGCTTGCATGCTGGTCGTGTCGTTCGCCACCCACGGGTCTTGTTGAGCGCTGCTCCAGTTGTCCTGGTGGCCGGTGTCGTCACCCTCGACGAGCACGCTGGCATAGTGCGGGTTGGCGCCCACAAGCACCGCCGGCCACTCAGTGGTGACCGGAGCAATTCTGACGCTCATGGCCACCTCTCGTATTGACTTCTACTCTCACGAATGTCTTTTCCGTCGCTTTTCCTCACGATGAATTATCGTTTCCACACGGCGTTTCCGTTCCCAAAAACAAAGTTTTACGTCGGCAGTTGGCTCTCTTCAGTAAGTTCCTACGGGCGTTGGTGTCCACTGCAGCATTGGCATATCCATTCATGTCCTGAACTGCTCCTGAAATGTAAAAAAAAATAGCAAGGAAGAAGCACGGTTAAATTGAGCACTCATACCGTCGAAAACATTATAAGAAGGATACTGCACAATAATGTTCACATGTTATCACATATGCGAATTCTAGGAAGTGCTTGCAGAGCAAGTGAGAAGGGATATTCGTCATTTTCAAATACCATTATCTACAGGCGTCTGTTAATTTGTGCTTCTGATTACTCTACCATAATTTTCAGTTATTAGCACAGAAAGTGGGGCTATGCATGGAGCAATACATTCTTTATTGTATCCAAACTAGCTGTTTGAGTTACTTTAGTGTAGGTTTGTGTGCCCCTTTTGGGCGCAGGGGCCGTATGAACTTGAACGAAATGAATCATGGTACGCTAGCATTTCTGTTTTCCTATCAAAGAGTGTGGCACTAGCCATGCTTGAAGAGAGCAGCCGAAGGTGACGGGCACTGAGCCTATATGAAAGGAGACATATGATAAACTTGCTATGACAAGTAGGTGGCATAATAGAGTTACGTACAAGACCCGACAGAACTCAATATCAATAGACTTAGCTTGTGTTAGCGCGGTACAATATATCCTAATACTCAGCTTATATAGTGCGGTACATCTAAGAAGGAAAGCCGTATTTTCTTCTTATATCTACCGCGCTAATACAAGCCAAGTCCATGGATGACCAACTCATCCTAGGCTTCAGCACTTCTGATTAACCTCTTGAGCACACTAAGAAAAAAAAATCATAACTTCGATTGCAGTGCAATCCACTGAGTTATGACAGCTTTACTTAAAGATACATGATTAGAGTCAAAAGGTTTCACAAAGCGATCTTTTTCGACTTACGAGCACTCTGTGTCTTTCATCAACAAAGTTATTTTTCGTGTGCTTATTTTGTGGAATGGGCCAACCAATAATATTTATCACAATTCATATGCAAGGCTTTCTTTCAGAGCACTACTAAAGAAGACAAGCATATCCTACGGAGCTTGCTAATACTTGAGGCACCGCATATCCAATAAATGTGTGAATCTAGTTTGCATATATATAATTGATTAACTCGGTCATAATTTATCTGCATAGCCTTCTTTCAGAGTGCGACAAATAAAAAAAGCATCCTACTGATATTAGAATGATAGCCTTTCTAGTAACGAAGAGAAAAATATTAAATGACGCCTTTGTCCGGATAACCCGAAAAGTTGATGACTTTTAGTATTGTTCACTTGAATTCTTTCTCGCATACTTTTTCTATACATGCGATACTAGGTAAGCCTTAGTGTTTCTCTTTCGCCTCTCATTCAATGTACATCAGCTTAGTCATCTGCAAAGGTTAAAAAAACTTACAAAGAACCAAAATTTGTTTTTGCCAGCTGTTCGTGTCATACAACAAGCGGATAAGAAACACCAGGAGAAGGTGTGTATGCATTTAACCATAGAGGGGCATGAAAGAAAAAGTTGCATCAGGACATCCAAGATTGAAGAGTACAACAGTAAAAGAACCGTCCCATGAATATTATAATTGCCCAGGTCGCTTGAGTACACAGGGAAGGCGACAAAGGTAACCTGAGGCAAATAGACGCTTTCGCATGCGTGGAACTTTCCGTGGCAGCAGTTCACGTGTTTTTTGTTTCTTCTTTTTGTTTCTTTTTTTGCGTACTCACGTACGCGAAAAAAAGACAAAAAAAACAAGGGAATGAAAAATGCACGAGAACCTGCTAATTTCATTTGCAAAGTGCCCTCACCGCCTTGTAGCAAGCCAAGGCAATCGAAAGGCTGTATGCCTGTGGGATAGTGTTGATATTTGTCTGTGGCACTTCTGGTCACAAAAAGAGACAAGGGATGGAAGGAAGAATAGCGCGAAGGATCCAGCCAGGCGAGCATCTCCGTGCCAACGTACCAGCATACGTGACGTAAGCGCAGCTCAGCGGAAGTAAAAAAAAAATCAGCGATGCACAAACTATCGCACTGCAATTTTGTTCAGAAAACTTCTGATGGTACAGGCAGAGCCTCGCGGCGTGCGGGCCCCCTCCTTGCTGACTCATCACCAAACTGCAATTGTAAAAGCAACGCTCTTCAAGAATTCCAAAAAAGAAACCTTCCGCATTAGTTCCTGTAACCGATTGCGTTTTCGGAAAGAGCCCCTATACTACTTCCCATAAGGAATCTGCGGGGCATTGTCTTCCGTATCTGAGAGGCACCGATCTGTTGAGCAAGGGATAAAAATACGTCATGACATTGCGAGGGAAGCTCAGGCAAGGCAGTTGCTGACCTAAATGGCCAGGGCATACCCGCATGCGCCTGCAGTAATCCACTATACGGCCATCATCAGGACATCCGAAAGAAGCCATTCCATATTTAATTGGCTCGTATACCGACGCATCTGCGCAAGTACTGCAACCTATATGAGCGTATTGTCATATAGCAGATATTTGAAATAGTAAATATGGTCACAACTTAGCACCGGGCTGGAAGTACTAGTTTCCTCTGGCCTTGTAAGTGCGGAGCACGCTAGCTACCCGGACTGTCGTATGTTGTCGCATTCGATCGTCAACTGGAGTAACAAAGGCCACATCAACTACAAAAATAACTAAAAGAAAGCGAGCAAGCAAGAAAGTAGAAAAAAGAAAAAGGAAAGGCAAGAATAGGAAGAAAATTAGAAATATCAAGAAAGAGAAACCAATGGAGAGTAAGAAGGAAGTATAAGTATACAGTGAAAAACAATTGGCAGATCCCACGTACAGTGGGAATCGATAATATGCGAAGCACGAATGAGGAAGGTTAATATGTAACTATAAAATCAGCATAATGTCACGAGGTGGAGGTAAATGATGCCGCACATGACTTACTTGTCATGATTATCAAGTTTGAAAGTGTCGCTTATTTTCGTTGTCCATTCACGTCACGTGATACCAAATTTAGTGTATGTGGAGCTAGCAAAATGGCCGCGAGCACGCTATGAGCGTCATATGTTGTCATATTTTACATGACACGACTGTCAGAATTATCATTTTTGTACCAGTCGTATACTTTCGTCCTTCATTGACCTCACGTAACACCAAATTTGGTGTATGTGGAGTTAGCAAAAGGGCCGCAAGCGCATCATGAAAGGCCCAATACACTCCAATGTAGCGTTGACACGGGTGTACGCTAGACACGCGATGCTACGTTAGCAAAACGCGAGCAATATTTAGTTTGACGCCAGGCGCGACCAGCGCGAGCAGCGTCCGTCGGCGCAGGCCGAAGGCAACCGGCGTGAACCGCGACACGCTGCGTTTCGCGCCGATGCGTTACCCAGACAACACTGCGTGTCCCTCATTTCGTGACGGAGGGACGCTGAGCGCGATCAAACGCGCATGCGTCAAAGCAACGCAGCACGGCACACGCCTGTGAGTATATGGCAAGACCGGCGCCTGGCGTCGCAAGACCGGCGTGACGCGACGAAATGAACGCCAGCGAGCACGCACACCGCGTCACGTCGAAATGTATTGGTGCCTTGACTGTAGTATGTAGTTATGTTCTCACATGGCACGCATCTCATAATAATTATTTATGCGCTAGTCACATACCTTCGTCATTGATTGACGTCACGTAATACAAAATTTGGCATATGTAAAGCTAGTAAAACGGCCACGAGCGCACCATGAGTGTGGCATGTAGTTATGTTACATAACTCGCATGTCATAATTATCCTGTTTGGATGTGTCCTTTACCTATATCGTTCGTTCGCGTGACGTAATATCAAGTTTGGTACTAGTGAAACTAGCGAAATGGTTGCCAGCGCATCATGTGCGTGACATGTAGTCATGTTGTTACATAACACGCATCTCATGATTATCATATTAGCACGAGCCACATACCTTCGTCATCCATTCAAGTACTGTAATAGATACTGGAAATGAAAACTTGGGTATGTGATGATAGGGAAATGGCCGCGAGCGCATCATGAGCATGGCATGTAGTCATGTTGTTTCATGACATGCATGCCATGATTTCTACGTTAGTGTCTGTCACTTGCTTTCGCAATGCAGTCATGTGATACCATACCAGTTTTGCAACATGTCATGTGAACGAAACCACCGCGAGAGCTGCAAGATCATGAAATGTGAATCATGATTTCATGACATACATGTCATGATTTTCATGGTATGACTAGTCAAACATGTTTTAAATGCGAAGCATTTCTTAGTGAACTTCGGTGACTTTGAGCGTATCTATCTATCTATCTATTTAGACGCTAACGTTTGGGTGCTCTCGTGGTCGCCCCCTTAACTTGACGTGAACCAAAATAAGCACGAGAGGGTAATATAGTGTGACGAATATGACACGCTGTTCAAGACATGAATAATGTCACAATCCGATCGCGTACGTCGTCAAACACGTCCCGTTAGACATTGGCACATACCCACGGGCGGGTATGTGCAATTGGTATGAGGGTATATGCCACAGGTGATCAACACTTAGTATCTACCCAGGAACGATGAGAACACACATGGGCAATTTCAACACGCGAGCGTTGAGAAGTACACGACATCAGTAGCGTCGACGCAATAAATGCAAAGATTGAATGTACGGGTCCCAGCTGGAATTGAACCCAAGCATTCTGCGTGGCAATGTAGCATTCTACCACAGAGCTACGCCAGGTCTCGGAATTACTTTTCA